AATCAAAATTTACAATAAAATATGTAGCACTTAGAAGAATTTAAAATTAAGTAATAACTACCTCCTTAAAAATTATGCTCCAACTAGAAGTTTGTGTGATATTTCACAAGTTGATGGAATGCCAGCAACTGTGTTACTGTTACTGCTTACTTGGTCTCAGGTTCACTAGCAAATTGTCCCAGAGATTTTGATGATACTGTAGATTCTTTTGTTCCATCTGAAACTTCCTTCATTGGATTATTCATGGAATCTGGATGTATAGTATTCAAGCCAGCAGTAATCGTAGTACTATATGATGATGAGCTAGCATCGGTAATTGCATTTGATCCTTTTGGTCTTTGCCTTTCCTGTTGTCGTTGTTTAGCACGGCGATTTTTAAACCACACCTGAATTGTAATATAAATTATATAAACTTATTCTATTGTTCACATACCTATAATGTTAATTTCGAATTCACTTAATTAATTACTTTCCGTGATACGGTAAATAAGCATTATTTGTGGATTTAACAAGATTTTTAGTGCAAAAATTAGAATCTTAAGGTTTTTTATTTCTTTTCCGAATTTTATAGTTAAAAGAAAAAGTCAAAAAAGTTTGGAGTATTATTTTTCATTTGCAAATTTATTACAAATAAAATATTATCACAGTATCCTTAATAGAAAGAAATCTGTAGTACCAAACTAAAAACTGTTACTTTTATTTCTGTACCTTACCGTATCTAAAAAAAACCCCTCTTATACTATATTTGGTAAATGTCAAGTTATTAGCTATTGCTATATTTGATAAAGTTTACAAAAGTAATGATTGACAAGAGTACCAAATGCTCGCCAGAAGTACCATTTATTTTTCGACACCTATTTTCGGTAACTTTTGAAAATGTATTATTATTTTAGTTTCATCACTACTTTTTTTCTCCGCCAAAAGTTTCCGTTCTTTGTTTACGGAAAGTATTTTCTTTTATAAAATATTGCTATTTCAATTATCGGAATTAATTTAGATATCAGTAGGAAACTAAATAATAGTAATACATTACTTTTGTAAACTTTATCATAAATACATAAATGATAACCTGAATCAGTAGGAGATTATATATAAATGATAACTTGAATCACTAGGTGGTAATACATAAATCATAACCTGAATCATTAGATGATAATACATAAATGATAACCTGAATCAGTAGGAGATAATACATAAATAATAACCTGAATTCGACTTTCCTGTAATTGTATTTGTTCAGCAACTTTTTCTCTGGTAAATACATCCGGATAATGTGTTGTAGCAAATAAATTTTCCAAAATTTCAAGTTGTTGTCGATTAAAAGTTGTTCGTTCTCTACGATTTTTCCGTGGAATCATTCCTGAAATGTAAAACAATAAAGAATTGTTTATTATTATTAAAATAGTTAAATGAAATTTTTTTTGGTAAATAAACAAACCATTTGAATAACTATTTGTAAACATTCCCATTGGTGCCATTGGATGAATCGGTGAATAGCCAAAAGATGGTGCAGTATTTGGGGTACCAGAAGGACATGATAGATGAGCATATGGATTAAATGGTACCGCACCATAGACCATTTGATGTTTTAGCAATTTAACACCTGAATTGTATTAAAAATTAAACAATGAAGTTTTACAGAATTACTTGCAATAATATTTTCAACGAGTTCAAAAGTTCATGATGCGGATCATCTTATTTACAACTGTTACATTTTTAACTCTTGCAATTTTCGGATTTTTGAAATTTCACGAATCCTATGTTATCCCTACGATGTTTATTCATCACCTTTCTTCCTGTTGTAAAAACCATTAAACACTATTCGGGGTACCGGAATCATCTATTATTTTGAAAGTACATTCAACTGATATGAACTACGACAAGCTGACATTCTTATCTTCTTATCATATCATTCTTCCTCTTTATCAATGCTTCGAAACGGAAAATGCATTTATTTACTTTATATGAATAAATTCATCTTGACGATGTTCAGTTATCACTTACTTACTTACATTGGTATTATCCAAAATAAACAAAAATTATAATTTCAGGAAAGAAATATATTTCATTCATTGATTTACGTCATAAACTTCTATCCCTTATATAAACTAATCAGAATGACAATCCGGAACAAACATAAATGATAGTTTCCGGTATTTCATCTCTACATTTGATGAAATGATAATCGCAAATTTTTATAAGTTATCTTCTTCACTTATCAAAACCAAAGAAATCTTTCTTCAATTTTGCAATGTTGCAATAGAAGTAATCAATTGGTCAATTTTATTTTGCTATTGGAAATTTTAAAATTTTTTACTAAAATGATAAGCTGTGAGCTAGATACCTATTATATACTAAATGAAGCTAACAAATGGATAGATTAAGGGTTAAGGATAGATTAAGGGAGAGAGAGAGAGAAAGAGGAGAAAAGCTTGTCAACAATTTCATTTCAAAATTACCTTGAATTTTTAACTGTGATAAAATTAGAAATCTTTGTATCATAAAAATGAAAGCGTCTTTTTTATTTCAGTTTTATCCTAAAATTAATAAATTTAATTATTTTAGTTTTATCCTAAATTAGTTAATAAAAAAAGACTAATATTATCATTTAATTAATTCAAAAAATTTATTTCATTTAATTAATTTAGGATAAAATTGAAATAAAAAGCTCACTAGCATTTTATTTATGCTATTGAAATTAATTATATTACTGAAATGTAATTGGAATTAAATTCAAAAACAAATCATAAATCAATAAATAAAAATAAGCTATTAAAATTAATTATATTATTGAAATGTAATTGGAATTAAATTCAAAAACAAAAATCACTAATTAATAAATGAAAACAAAAAATGCAACATAATCTCTTCAAAGGTTAAAAAAAGAGATGGAATGGAAAATTCGAATTCTTTCTCGATTATTTCAAATGCTACCAATAACTCAGAATAGTAGTAGTAATAATAATAATAATAATAGTTTGTTGTGACAATTGGCGGGTGAAATGCAAATTATTTACTGCATGGTTAATAATACTGCATGGTTAACAATACTGCATGGTTAATAATACTGCATGGTTAACAATACTGCATGGTTAATAAATAATACTGCAATATGCTCTACCATAAAATATTCAAATAAATTAACAACATTTTACATCAATTTGATAACTGAATAGAAAAATAAAATGCTTTATCAATTTTAACTATAAAAGAAATTTATGTAATTTTTAAAACAAAAGTTCAATATAATTAAACTCAAAATTTTTTTCCCTATAAATTAAAATGAAATTTAATTTGTTAATTTATACTAATAATTAAGTTCAAATTGTTTTTTGCTATAAATCAAAGTGTAATTAAATTTGATAGTAAAATTTTATCACTTCAGTTAAATATTATAATTAACAAAAACTATTTGAGCACTGAATGTATAGTATATGCTTTCCTTCATATATTGATTTAATAATAATGATATCATATAATTATCAAAAACTATTCGAACACTGATTGTATGATATATGCTTTCTTAACCTATTTGATTTGATAATAATGATATCAGTGATTGATTGAAAGGAAAGAATGTCATGACCCTTAGATAAGATAATATCCTAAAAATATCACATTCGAAAGAATGACTGACGACTAATCGCTTGTCTAACTTATTCATTCATTCACTCTTTAATGATAATCATTTAAAACAAAAGAAAAGAAAAGAAAAGAAAAAAGGGAAATTAAGCGACAACTTATCCATGGCAATACAATTATTAAGAAGTGATTTTGAAGGCGGGGAGAATTGTTATAATCATCAATCTTATAGCGCCCAATAGTCGACAGCATAGTCAATTACCGTATCACTCTTACATGACTTCTTCAAACTGTTTCAAATGAGGTTTAATTTATTAATAGGTAATTAATTTAATTTTTAAAATTAATTAAAGTATTATATTTGCTAAAAATACATTTAATAAAAAGAGGCATTAAGTCGGAGGAATTGTGGAAAATAAAAAAAAGCTTATCCTTATTTCACCTTTGACCTTTTTAATTTTACCTTCTTTTTTACTCTCTTGTTTTACTTTTTCTCTTTCTAAATCCTCCAAAAGATAATTGTTATAGAAAAGTATGAAGTGTAAACTGTAATCTATTGCTTTCCTCTTGCTATTGCAAGAAATTTTTGCGACAACTTTTATTAAATACTAATTAGAAAACAAAATTATTATGATTAAGATTTAAGAATACCAAAAGTGATAACTTTTATCAGTTACTAATTAGAAAACGAAGTTACTACCTTAGACAACTTTTATTAATTACTAATTAAAAAAAAAAATTATTGTGATTAAGATTTAAGAATATCAAGAATGATAAATGATATTATTTATTATTCAATTGTTAAGTATAATGTAAATTTGAAATGAATAAGCGGTGATAGTGTTTTATACTGTTAATTTCATTTCATCATCATGAAAATCAATTCTGTAATCCTGAATACTTTTATTATTTGTTATCTGTTTTAGATTTTACGGAAAGAAAAAGAAAACCGGAAGCAATCCCTGAAATAATTTGTACCTAAATTAATTTCGCATATCTATGCGAATGAATGCTTTGTCGCAATGAGCAATTTTCATTTCGCAATTACAAAAACTGAGAATGAACTATATCGCAGTGACCAATAATCATTTAGCATTTTTAACCCTTTTAATGCCAATTAAGTTAATTAGGCTTTAGAAGTTTATAGTATCAATAATATTTCAAGTTTATTTACACATCTAATCACTGATCGAAATGATTGTTTGGCAATGATTTAATCATTAATCGAAATGATTAATTGATAATGATTGATTTGATAATTTAAGACCAAACTATTTAAATGTAGAATTTATTTTGAAACAAATAAAATCATTTAAATATTTTTTTTCTTGATAACACTTCTAAGAAACAATAGTACTATCAAAAGATAAGATTTAAGAATTATAATCACTGAAAATAATCAGTAACTAAGATAAAAGAGGCAATAGACAGGGAGGGAGAAATGAAAGGTTAAAGTGTAAAGGTATATCAGTGTGATTTCATTCAAATTTTGAATTCTTAAATTTCATACGACTGCAGGTAAAGTTACATGAAGAAATGTGAGGTTGAAGTGTAAAGGTATATTAGTATGATTTCATTCAAATTTTAAATTTCATACTATCGTAGATAATCTTAAATTTGAACCTTTAATTTCATACGGTAATATTACATTTTAATTACTAATATACAAATTATTTGTATGTTGTAGTAATGAAAATTTGTTGAAATTTTCATTACTGTTGAAAGTTTGTTGAAATTTTATAAATTACAGTATATAGTTTTAATTATTATTGCTACGATAAAGTTATTATTTGTAGAGTAATTTTGAAAAAGTGAGTAATAAACTGGTCATTCAATTGATGGTCATTTGGTTGATTTACAATTCAACAACCAATGCAAACATTATTTTTATAGTTGCGATAAATTGACCGGTAATTTTACCATTTTCACTAAATGACCATTAGGTTATTTCTAATCTGTATGCAAACCCATCTATCTCTGTATGCTTAAATGCAATTTGCATGCTTAAATGCAAGCACAATTAATCATGCATCTTGAATTTAAAATTTATAGTACAAATTATGCAATTAAAATTTGATGTAATAAATTTAACAAGAATAATCTAATAAAAATATTATATAGTAAATGCGATACGCTCAAAAATTTATTCTATCAAATTTGATTTGCAAAAGAGACTAAGCAAGAATTAATTTTAAAATAATTAGAGCGATATAATTATATATATATCACTTATACTAAATATAAAATGATCAATGTTCCATTTTAAAATTTAATTATTTCAACAAATTAAAATTTTTAATTACTTTTTGGAATGTTATAAAATTTGAAAGATTCTTTTAAAAAAAAGACAACATATATTTGAATAACTTTTTACGACGAAATGAATTTAACCTCAATAATTTTTATAACAATTAAAAAATTAATTTGTTGAAATATAATTTACTCGCAACATTACTATTATAAAATAATTAATATTATCAATCCTATAGATTGTAATTTTATTTGAATTCAAATTAAAATTTATTTATAAGTTATTCATTTACATTACCTTACATATTTAATTGCATACTCGCAACATTACTATTACAAAGCAATTAATATCATCAATCTTATAGATCATGATTTTCGAATTTAAATTAAAAATTCATTTCTAAGTTATTCGTTTACATTACTTACATATTTAACTGCGCAAACAATAATGATGATGATGATGATGATGATGAATGTTGTGAAATGAGAGGAGATATTTTAGTTAATAACAAATGAAAAGATTGAGCAAACATTGAGGTAATTAGAATATCATAAACAGAACTTAATTGAGGGATACACGAGCGATCATCATCCGATCAAACTATATTTTATGGGCTATTTAGTGGAAGGGCGAAGGTTCAACCGATCGAATTGTGTAATTTTTTTTTTGCCATATAATATAAGTGAGCACAACAAATCATTTGACAGATAATTATTACTTCATTTTTATCGTATTTCTTTTATTTGC